GAAGTTTGAAGTATTGTTTGGAGGTCGTAAGGCAACCAGTTGTGCGGCGGTGCTCGGAATCGGCCGGGAGGAACCGGGCGCTTCCCAGTTGCCTCCTCCCATCACCATCGTGAAGGCATCCAGCCACACGATCATCCATAATTGGCAGCCCTACAGCTGGCTGGTCATTCAGTATGACAACCCCGACTCGACCTCTTATGCACTGCGCAACATTTCGAGCTCAGGCGTCACGACCACCACTTGACTAGTACTAGAGGCTATTCGTTTTCAATGGCCCACCGCTGAATCTAGAGGAACGCCTTCGCCCCATCCCGGGCTCCACCAACAAAATTCACATTGGCCGTTATCGAATGCGCTGATTGCGAGGGCCGTGTGCAGACTGCGCGGACCGCTGTCTCGGGCAGCAGTACCGGCCCTCTAAAAGCACCCGGGGGGCGAATGCTCAAGATCACGATCGAAGAAGACCGGGCGCGTGTGGCCCCAGTGCGACGAGATAGCGAAGCAAAAATTTCCGCACCACGATGCAGCATATGACCGTATTGCGACAGATTGAACGCTACGAACCACGCCTTGCTCGTCGTGGTACGTGCCATCACGAGCTATTACTAGTAGTGTCTGCTGGCCCAAGTCATTGAGCCGCAGATTCCATATTCAGACACTCTCATGGAGAGGCTCTTGGACTCACTTGGAGCTCACAGTATTGTGGTCTTACTAGAATTGTCACAACATATCGACTCCTACATCAACGTGGATTCAAGGAAGGCCCCCAGCCGAGGATTTCCCTTTGCCACAAAGTCTTTGACACATCAGGCGCCCTGTATACACGCTAGGTACGGTACGTGGTTCTAGTGCGTGCTATATGCTTTTCCATTTTCTTCCCTGGACTCCTTGTTCTGTACCTTTCTTTCATCCAGCCGACCGATAACTTTGCATCTGCCCCCATTCACTCGACTAGTGATTTCCTCAATCACATGCCCCGAACACCCGCCATTAAGCTCATCTTCTGGGAACCCAGTGGCCTGCCATACACCTAGTTGGACACTCGCGGGGAGCGCTCCAGGTGCACGTGTAGCATCAGAATCACGTCTACGCTTGCGGCCTTGCAGCCATTACTTAGCTGTAGCGTCCGATGCCGCGCCTCGTGCCTCCTGTCCCGCAAGCCTGACGCGATATCTGAGAGGCCGAGATGTTAAACATGGTCAGGCGTCACAGCTGGCAGTGGCAGATCTGCCTGTCGTCTGTTCGGCTACGCTCGCTTCCCAGAGTCCTGCTATCTCTCCTGTCACTAGTACTACTGCAGACAGCAGCTGCGGCTGAGATGCTTCCGCGAGCCGCTTGCAGCCGTAAGGTTTTTACGGGGCCCCATGTCGTAAGTGCGGCTAGTTCCCCGTTCTTACAGCAGGATCAGCACGATTTTCCCCCCGTCTTGCGCTACTCAGTGCTTGCTGGTGTATCAGCTGATCTCACAAGAAGGTGATTCGTGAGCGTTGTCGGTATACTCCGGATACCAAGTTACAGGAATTTCATCGAAGGTTGCCGTCGCTCGCAGTACTAGGGTCGTCCGCAGTCTACGGCGTGAGATGACGGGGTTGGTTCTTCGTGGACTGCGGTGCCATCCCAATGGCGGCGTCAAGGAAACCAGGGTCTTGCCCACGGGCCACTCCTGTGAAATCCATCGGGCATCTTCCCAATTTGAGGTGAGCAAATGCGTCGTGATTTATGAGCTTGTAGGACATTCGTTATAACCCATGTCCGCACGCCAAGGTACTGCGCGCGTCCAAGAGAGTTTCCCCCAAGCCGTCAAAATCTCACGGTTGTGGACAACGCGTCGGCGCTAGCAGTTTCGGGCACTACACCTTCTGAATTCCTCTCAGACAGTTCGAGAATGCGCTCTGCCTCGTGACCACATTCTCTATGTTTACACCCGGTAATCTTGCCCGATTGGTGCGTCGCCGTCCAATCGATCTCGTCCACTCATGGACGCCGGACGTTGCGCTAACCTCCGGTGAATTCTGCGGTTCCGTCGGGTACGCGCTCACTTCCGGGGACACTCGCCTGACAGCTTCTAAGTACCTATTCACCGTGAGCGTGACCACGCCGACGACTGACGGATTCTCAATTCATATTGTCCCCCATGTAAATGCGCACGTTCAGCGGCGCCACTAATGAACCAATGAACGCCGTCCTTGGATGCGAGGCCATGGCAGACGACACCCCCTTCGCGCCCCGCCCGCAGCCCCGAAGGTCAGCGCGTCCGAACTATGGCGTAGACTCTCTGTAATATGGAATATACCGACTCGAAAACCCCCATAAAACCCGACGGTCGTCCCGTCCCGTAAGTAACACCTCATTTCCGACACACACACCCTTGTAATTCCGCCTGTCCGGTTCAGGCGGGCAATTGAATTCCGCTGAAGAACCCCACCTCGCGCTCTTGCCGCCCATTGGTTGCTTCAGACCCTTCTTCCCTCGCCGACCTAGCGGCGACCTGGACAGTATTTACGGGACGCCGCGCTCCACGTTCCCGAATGTTCGTGGACGCGCCACAACGCCGTCTTCGCGACCCGCAAAACGCAGAATGAGATGGGGCCCCCCTGAATTACAATAGGATTGTGGTCCCACGCGTCAGAAGTTGTAGCCACAGAATCACTGGGACGTCTGGGATAGGCGTAACTCGCATGCTTCGGTGCTGTCACGTTGTACGTGTTATATGGCATGTAATGAGAATCGAGAAAGGAATACCTCGACAGGCGGCCGGGGAGACAAGCGCAAGGCGTTGCAAGCGAAGAGGGCTGTCTGTCGAGAGGACACCCTGGGCCACTGGCAGGCACTGTATGACGTCTGATCAAAGTCTTCATATTCGCTACTTATAGTACAGGCGCCATCCTCGAGAACTGGTATACACGATGACGTCGCATGTATGGTGGTAGTAAATACAACGGACGATATATCCAACGAGACAGCAGAGGCTTCTATACAAGATACAGAGCAGAATGAGAGAGAAAGGTGTTTGCAACAGACTAGACAGCGCGGAGGGCAGCCTCGAGTGGGGCAGCCATTTCTTCGGGATTCCCGATCCAACGGACAATGCCATCTTTTGGAGAGATGATAAACGCTGGGGACAGACATCGTGACATCAGTCCTGGCATCCGAACAGAGTTTCATTACGCTCGGGAACGCACACGTACCTAATGGGATGGACAGATTTTGGCCTGGCTGGAAGATCGCTGGAGGGGAGAAGAACGCTTAGTCAGCACCTTCTCCGCTTATACACACCTGCTAGTGCTAGGAACAGGAACGCGCACAGGTTACCGCGACGCGATGGGTATCGATGTAGATGGGGTAGTTCATGTCGTCCCGCCCCGCTATGAACGCCTTCACGGCGGCGACGTTGATGGGCGCGTTCGTGAAGATGCCCTCCGCGTTGAACGTGATCACCTTGATCTCTGGCCGGGTCTGTGCGAGTGTGGAGAGCTCGTGGAAGACCGCGAGGCACGGCTGCGAGAGTGGGAAAAACGCGCAGGTCAGTCGAAGGCAATTAGACCGTGTATGTCCCATATCGCACGTACCCTGCACCAGCTGCGGACCACGAAGCAGCCCGAAGATCTCGGTGTCAGTAATCGCGACTGATACACAGCATGCAGATGCAGATGCGTGCGCGGCATGGCGCGAGAACGCGAAGCGGAAGCTGCGTGCTCGGAGCTAGAAGCTCTTCATACAGCACCCCTCGGACGTTCGGAGCGCACACGGGCGCGCGTGGGGACGACCGAGGTGCGCGCGAGCATGAAACTCCCGCCCCACCCTTCAGCGCGGCGTGCTGTGGACGCGTACGCACGATAAGACGGGGGGACACGTACGAAGCCCAAAGCTCAATAACAAGCAGCCTTGCTTTCTTCCAGCCGTCCATGCTCCCTTTGACGTGCTCGAAGGTGCCGGTGTCGAGCCATCGGAGATCGACCTTTTTCCCAATCAATGGGCTTGTCCACCCCGGGCGGAGGAACGGGGGTGGGCCCTTGCGGAATTGCGCCTCGAGCGCATCCCACTCTGGTAGCTTGGCTCGCGCCCAAAAGCGTTGCACGACGGCGGGGTTATGCGCGGCCTTGAATTGTGCTTGGTAAATAACGAGAGGTGAGTCGAATGGACACAGTGGGGTCCGCTCAGGCTCAAGACCAACTCACCGACTGCGCTATTCCAGCGGGCTAGATGTCAAACATAATATGAGTCAGCGGATCTGCAGACACGGATGAAAGACGCAAGAGAACCTTGGTCCCACTTGTCCTCGTAAAGCTCCTGGAAGACTGACCAAACGTTGGTGCGGAAGTCGGTCTTTACCGTAAGCTCTTCAGGGGTTTCCGGACCGAGGGCAGCCATTCGGTACAGTCTAGGGGCGATTGAGAGAGATATCGAGGACCAAAGATGACGAGTAGACAATCAGCACGGCGTATACGCGTGAGTGCGCTCAGATGGGCTGAACTGGGTGATGGTCAGTCACGGTAGCATGCTACAGTTATATGCTGTGGACGCACCGGGTGTTGTGACGCTGTCAAGAGCAAGAAGCTGTCAGGGTGCCGAGAGGACGTTGGTGGAGGCAGCATTCATAGAGGCTGCGGGGTCGGAAGGGGTACAAGAGAGGATGGGGCGGAGGACTAAGTATATGGCGGAATGCCCTGGCTGCCGCTCTGGGCATGCGAGTGACAGGAGCAGCAAAGTTTCATTGATGCCGTACCGAGAAGGGTGGAATTCTGTTTGCTCGATCTGCGGGTGCACAAGTTAGTCAACTCGGTCCAGGCCGTTAATCAATCAGTCCCCCGGCGTCACCTTCCTTATCTTCTCCACCCCTTACTCACTACTCGCTCACCCATCCACAGCAAGCAGCCCAGCGCCGTGACTTACGAGTCTATGGTCGCAGCGTTCCCATTCGGGGACGGAGAGCTTATGTAAGCTTTCCCATAGAGTCACTCACCCGTTAAAAGGTATGTACCCGTTGCAGGTTTGCAAAATGGACGTTGTGGGGCTTGAACCCACGACCTCATGCAAATTGCCACTGTACAGGCTTCCAAGGAAGAACCCCGCTCAAATGCAAAGCAGGCGCGCTACCACTGTGCCAAACGCCCATACTATAGTTTGCCCTTTGTTTTTATCTGGCCTCAACTTGGTCGACTGGAAAAACTCACAGAATCTCGAGTACAGTGTGTACCATAAACTTCGCGCTCAACTTCATTATGTGCAGAACGTCAGTCATCCACTCAAAACCTTACTGCGGTGCGCGAAGCACATCACCCTTAGCACCCAGCAGAGGCCAGAATACTGGTACAGTCCTGCGGAAACAGTATCAGCCACGAGTCACCAAGATTATCACTCGAACGATCCAATTCCGCTAGACGTAATGGCGTGTGCTAGGTTAGCACGTTCCAAGCCAGGTCAGGCATCGATAGAGTGAAATCATATAAGCGGATCGCTTGCTAGCGTCACAGAACGTTCGATCGCCGCGCCTGTGAGTCCTAACCTTCCGTACAAAAGGTGAGGACGCCATAGTCATCGCAAGACGAAGCCCTGAGCCGTATCCTGAGCGAGCCTGATATAGGTAGATGAATGGAGTGCATCGTGGACGTTTCATTTCTCAGGATGTCGCACTGAATGCATGGGTCCCATGGCAACACGGAAGTTTCAAGCACAACGACACTCTGATAAGGTAGAGCTTACCGTTTGTATTCTTGCCACTTGGGATCATCTCCGAACTTCTTGTTGCCCGCGGCCTAATGTCAGTGAAAAGCCGATCAGCACCATCGATTAGCGACAAACACTGACAGGACGCATACCTCGAGAGGTGGAACACCGGACACGCGCGTTAAGAGGAACCAGGTCAGAAGCGGGCTCGCGCCAGCCAGCAGCCACGCCCCCTTCGGAAAGAACGGAGAGCGTAAAGACCGGATAGCCAATAGCCACATTCCGGTCCATAAGCCCACCTCACCCACGTAACTAGACAATCGATGAGATTCAACCTTCTGAAAACAAAGGCACAAAGTTACGAGATTTCGCATACGTACTTCGGGTGACGGCTGACTCCCCACAAGCCGTTCGTGATAAATCTTTCGTCATGTTCCTTATTATCCTTCGCACGACGCCACACACTCTTCTGGTGATCGGCGACTGACAAGGGACGCCGTAAACAGACGACCGAGTAGTCGATGTTGGAGATCACGCACCGATTTCGAACAGCCAAGAACCAGCCCATAGAGCTACTGACAGATAGTCAAGTGGCGCTAGTCTGGCATGGTGGGCAGGAGCCAGCGTGTTGACCTTTCAATGTGGAAATTGGTATCGAAGTCATACAGACCGGACGTTCGGGACTCCGCCACAGGGTATATGACGGTATTCTTTGAGTGCTCACCATATAGACAGGTAGGCCCACCACAAGCACCCATGTCGCTACATGCACTACGTCAGCTTGGTATTCATCAGGAATATACAATGATTACCTTGTGCCATCCAAAAAGCCGTAAACTTGACAGGTTGATGTTTGACCTCGTCGAAGCGGGAATCGCCGCCCGCTTTCATGGCTCTCTAAAGACAAGGATGGTGAGGATCAGCGGAGTAGTGAACACTACCATAAGTGGCACGGACCGAGAAGAGAAAGGTGCCAAGCCTGGTGGTCCATGCAAGAATGGCTGCATTCAGCAGTATCTGCCTCGGCGCAAAATGCGTGATTGGCGGGAGTATCGCGGACGGTACGCGATCCCACAATCTGGCTTTCAAATGAGGGTAGTAGAGAGAGAAAAGTGTGGTAGAGAAGAAGCCAAGTGACCCTCCTAGATCATAGTACATTTCATTCGCCCGAGGAACGAAGATCAGTGCCAGGACTAACAGTGCATATAGTCAGTCAGATAACCATTTCACGCCAAATCCACCGAACTCACCTGACTGCAGTCCATACGCCGATGCTATGGATGGAAGAAGCTTAGATAACAGAGGCATGACCGGAGCAGAACGTTGCGGGGACACAGTCGCTGTGATGATGGTAGTATTCGTCGCCCGAAGACACGGACGTGAGAGAGCGGCCAGCGCGTCATGGCAGTGCCCAGGCGTCCATTGTGACACGCGGTCACATGAGTTCTTCGAGCACTTGAGTGACGTCAGTGTGTTCGGACAGCACGGCGGGCAACTCTACAATTCTCTATGAAAGACAAGGCGTGACCACTAAACACCTATTCGTCGCCTTTCCTTCCAATCTCACAAAAAGGAAATGTGTTCGGTGGCTATTCCACGCATTTTCTCTGCATTTTGACCATGGTCGTGCCTTTTCTGACCCAAGTTTTCCAGGGAAGATAATGGGAAATTGCCCGCCGTGCGGATTCCATATAAGTAGGCATCACTGGCACGGGTGCGTTATGATCTATGCCCTAGTACTGCCACCGTTGACCTCACCTACTCGGAAGGGTTGGCGGGATGAAAAAGACGGTGCGACTAGACTCGGACTGGATGCCAGGACGGACCTACTAGTATCGAGAACAGTAAGTAGAGGATCCGCCTGGATTTCTGATCTCCGGAGAAGGCGCAGGAGGAGGTTGCGATGTCACCTCGACATCGACGGACACATTTGCCTCTTCTTGATTCATTACTTGTTTGTATGTTCCCAATGCATAATCATTTCATTCACATCATGATGATTTGAGTCATAAGAAACCTTCCTATCGACCGTCGACGCAGCTCAAGTGTCTGACCATCATGCTTGTTGGCGACTTTCAAGCATCAACAGAGAAGTACTCGTAATTGCTCGCATTGTCCACCGCCTGGTCGGGGTTGTCCTCGGCAAGGTTCAAGCAGTCGTCCGTACCGTAAGCGATATCGTCGGTTCCGCCATTCACATTGAAGTGGCTAGCCTGGTGAACCGAGAAAGAAGTGAAGTTGTGAGGAGTCCCTTGATGGACTTGACGTACCTCGTGCACGAGCGTGGACGCCCTCGAGTCGTACCCCGTTGCAGGGGAGTTGAAGAACTCGTCGCACAAGTAGATCACACCATAACTAGTAAATAGGAGATGAGCCGACGGATCCATTCATCGCGATGAAGCGTCGCGATGCAGACACTCACATGTCCGCGTCAACGTATGCATAATCACCGGGGTCGCAGTCGGGGGCAGAAGCGTGGCAGTTATAGGTAAAGCCAGTGAAATTATTGCCACCCATCTTCGTGAACTCTGCCTGAACTTCGGCGAGCCTGACCGGATCACTGACGCCGAACCATGTGGTATAGATGCTACCTACACCTTGAGCCATGAGGTAGCTTCAGAGCACAAAACAAAATTGATCAGCAGTCGACTATTGGGACACCTGGAGACATTTACGTGTTGCTGGCAGCAATGGAGCTCACAGTGGAAGGGATAGTCGCATTGATGGTCGCTACTTCTGTAGCAGTGCAACCAGCCATCGGAGCCTGGGCCGCCGGGGCGAGGTTGGCAGGTTGAGCCACAGGAAACACGACGGTGTGAGCGATCTCGATGTCATGATATTCATATACAACGGTCGCGGCCTTAGGTGTGACCTCGCGGGTGTCCCGATCCACCAGATAGAAGACAGGACTGTCTTTGAGCAGCTGGACACTCGCGTTTGCACCGCGCTTCAATCCGCTTAGGTCGTACGCCTCGGTTACTACGAATGTCGTTGATCACAGAGTTTCATACTGGCAATGATAGAACTGACAATTGTGGCTGATAGTGACGATATCACCTGGAGCGAGAACGACCGTGGTGTCATTGCCCTTCGCCGCCACCTCGGGGACCACTTGGCCTACGAGAAGGGTGAACATCGTGAATCGTGACGCACGTGCAAAGATATCATCACCTTGATGCCTGTGAACTTGGCGGCATTGCCGAAGGAGTCAACAATGGCGAAGTTCTTCGTGTGCGGCCGGAAGACCCCTGAGTGCTTGAGGAGGGAGATGGTCTGCATCCCGATGTTCGTGACGGTGGTGTTGACGAGGAAGTCGCCTGCGTCGCGGGCCACATTGGGCGCAGCGACATGCACGGTGAGGTCTGCAGTAGTGACATCCCTGACCACACGAGAGTCTACGGCAGTGAGCGAAAGCACGAGAGAGACCAAGGCAAGGAGTCGCTTGTACATCGTGCAAGAGAGGGTGAGGCCTGGTGAAGTTTGCGGGTGTGATCGTGTATTTATATCTTGGGAGGCACCTCATTGTCGTCCATGCATGTAAGTTTCATGGACAGAATGGGGTTTCACAGAAAGGACTGGAAGCCTCCAATGGGAATGAGAACCCTCACAAGACGCCTAGTCGGAGGTTCGTTCTGCCGGTAGGGATTACTGGTGCCACTACTCGGTCTGTCAAGAGCAATATTAACGCGAACTTTTGATGCTCGCTCACAGTCTCACAATGGTATCAACGGTGACTGTAATCACCATGTCCGACGATGGTTTCGGCGGCGAGCGGAGAAATAGTAGGAAGGGCTTCAGGGCGTTATTTGGTGTCGAACTCTGTGCAGAGATGAAAGTAGTGTATGGGGAAGATGAAATGGCAGCCGGTTTCATCGAGTAGCTGCCTTGACAGTTCATGCCAATAGGTGTATTACTCTTTGAGGGCGGGACTGATTTGGTTTGAGTTGGACATGGTCGGACCGAATAATTCGTCGACGAGAGTCTGCAAGCCTCATCTAAACTTCATGTAAGAAAATAACACTTAATATGAGATGGAATTATTCTGATACTCACAGAGCTCCGGTTGAGTGAGAATCGCATGAGCCACTCCAGCGTAACGCACATTGATGATATTGCTGGAATGAGACAGACGGGTCCAGGCCGAAGTCATCTACATCAGTAGCGGCAGCGACCCCGACCGGAGGACGCATTACACTGACCACATGCCTTGAATTCTCGCACCCAGCTACACCTTACGGTAGCGATTATGCTAAATGGATGCGTCCGTAAAGCCCTTGTGGCGTTGTGAGTTCCTGAACGCATCTTCCAGATGCTCGCTGCTGGACAGCGACGCATCTCCACACAAGCCGCGTGCTTCATGAAGAAGACGCGAAGGAGAGCCAAGACCAGTAAGGTGACGAGAATTACCAAGACGTTGACGAGAGTGACCCAAACGGTGATGAGGGTG